ATGATCTTTTTTAAAAAAATGTTTTGTTTTAGAGATTTCTATCGGTGTTCAAATGGCGACTGTATAGATTTCATACTTGCTTGTGATGGAAAAACTGATTGTTCTGATAACTCAGACGAGACTGAAAGTCTTTGCTCGACTCATTCTAAAACGTAAATAATCTACAGTACAATGTAAAATATTTGAATAGATAAATACTTACTTTTTATTTATATGTGAAAATTGTAGATGCCCTGATTTTGTGTTCCGCTGCTTATACGGAGCATGTGTGAATAATAATGTTGTATGTGATGGAAATTTTGATTGCATCGATAAATCCGATGAATACAATTCTATATGTTATCCAAAATTTTTTCAAAGCACAACTAACCCAACAATTCAAATCACAACTAAAAAGGTTTTAACGAAATGCGAGTTAGTATATATTAAATTTTTATTTTTTAATTTTTTAAAACAGTGTGTTATAATAATTATAACATAAATTATTCCCCTTCATCATTATTTAATAATCTTTGTACTTGCGTTTAGAAGAAAATTCACGGTTAATTTTCAACTTTACATCCCACTAGCAGTTTAACTAAGGTAAACTAAAAGAACTATAAGAAATGTGGGAATATTAAGTTCTTGAAATTTGAATATTTTTTTGTTAAGAGTGTATAAAAGATGGTTGGGATTTTGTTAGAAATTAACATTAAAGTATTATGTAATGTTAAAAAAATTACTGATGCTAGAATTTTAGACTACTATTTCTAATTAAAATTTATTAAAAAAAAAGTCAATTTATTAGATCGACACAATTTCAATGTGATTCTGGTGAATGCATCGACAGACATTTTCTGTGCGATGGTACAGCGAATTGCCAAGATAGAACTGATGAAACTCGAAAAATTTGTGAAAATTTTAGGTAATTAAATGAGTTATTTATTTTTATTTACGTATAACTGCACTATATTCAATTACAGTTACTTTAATAATTTTTTATAATTTAAAGGTGTAGGAACAATTCTTTCACGTGTAACTATGGTGCATGTATACCCGAAAAATATAAATGCGATGGTCATAAAAATTGTGCTGATGGTTCAGACGAAATCAAATGTGATCGGAATAGAACTTTAATTGTGACCGAAAATTCGACACAGAAATTTACATCTAGTCCAGGTCAACCAAAAAAAAATACTTTGAGAATATTTATATACAGGGTGATTTTTTTATCATAACCCACTCAATTACTTGCTGAATAATAATAATTTAAACATTTTTTTTTTCATTATCTTTAATTACACATTATTCTTGAATTTTTAACTATGTAATACTTTTTAAGTTCATCCCTTATGCCTTGGAAGGGGGTCAACTTTGTTTTTTTAAATAGTAACACATACTTTTAATTTAATAAAATGTTTGAGTTTTTAATTTAATAGTAAATGGCATTTGAATTTTTAATATAACTTAATTCGTTTATTAGATATAAACATTTAAAGTTTCAAAATTTTGAGTTAATATACAGGTATAATACACAAGGAATTACAAATACAGGTAGCTAATTGATTTTTTATGACATCGATATTAGCAGGTACACAGCATTGTTATTATCAATGATAGTAAGGCACATTGTTCTGAGTTTATAAATACACTAACTGACAATACAGAAAGTATATCTATTGATAATCATAATTGATAATGAACAATCCGTGACTGAGACAGCAATGTCATAAAAATCCAATTAACTACCTGTATTTACAATCCCATGTGTATTATACATGTATATTAACTCAAAATTTTGAAACTTTAAATGTTTATATCTAAAAAGCTAATAAAGTTATATTAAAAATTCAAATGCTATTTACTATTAAATTAAAAACTCAAACATTTTATTAAATTAAAAATATGTGTTACCATTTAAAAAAACAAAGTTGACCCCATTCCAAGGCCTAAGGGATGAACTTAAAAAGTATTACATAGTTAAAAATTCAAGAATAATGTGTAATTAAAGATAATGAAAAAAAAAAAATGTTTAAATTATTATTATTCAGCAAGTAATTGAGTGGGTTATGATAAAAAAATCACCCTGTATACAGTTAATATAGTGACTACAGTTATGAAAATTGAAATAACCGAATATTAGGGTTACGTAACCATTTATGTAGTTATTCCAGCTGTTTTGATTAGAGTTATCACTATATTAATCGTTCATTCTTTTGTTGTAGTCGATATAGCAAATTATCACAACTTCATTGAAGATGGGGTCAATCCATGCCAAATCATCTAGAAGTGATTGAACGACCACCTTATTTTTTTCTTAATTTTTTAGGGTTTATTCTTTATGCAAAATTTGAATTTACAATGTAATAACAGAAAGTTATAATGTTCCATGTGATGACTAATTATGTTTTTATGATGAAAAAATTAAAGGGATAAAATACATAAATATACCCAACCTCAGAAGTATAACAAAATTAAAAACATCTAATATGAGATTTAAATAATGCAAACTATTCTCGGGAATAGAGGAAAACACAGATTTTTACCAATTAATAATAGTATCACAAAAGATCTCATGATTTCATTAACTGAAGACACAATATTCTAACTACTAAAATAAAACCATGATTATTTATTAAAATATTTTACAAATTATCATAATAATTTAATTAATCACATGGAACATTATAACGTTTCTGTTCCTACATTTCAAACTCAAATATTGCATAAAGAATAAACCCTAAAAATTCAAGAAAAAAATAAAGTGGTCGTTCAACCACTTCTGGATGATTTGGCATGGATTGACACGATGAAACAAAAATTACTGTAAATAAATAAAATTTTAGATTTAAAAATAATGTCATAGACCATAAAATTGAAAACTCCTAATTCTCTTTAAAAAACTTCGGAAATAAATTTTATTGTAAAAATTTGTATTCTCATACATTTAGAATACGTGAGCAGAATTTCAATTAATTAAGTTTTTAAAGTAAGAAAAAAAAGCTCAATTTGAGATATTATTAAAGGTTAAATGAACGAGGCTCATTTGGCCAGAAACATGATCGCATAAAAAACTTTGAATATTAAAAAAGCAAAAAGGTTTTATGTAAGAAAAATATTAAATTAATCAAAAAAGTTTTTCTTGTAGTTAAGGGTTGTACAAAAATTATATTTTATTTGTATAAAATTGTACATAATACTGACTGGATTTGGAAGGCCTGAGTCTAAAATTTAATACTAATACTTAATATATTTTTATTTAATTTCTAATATGCGGGTACCAGTGTGATGCATCTTTGAATTCTTAATTTAATTTCAACTTTTAGAGTTTTTTACTATACAATTTATATTAACAAAATATTCTCTATATTATTGAATATGAATTTCAGAAAATTTAAAATCTCTGATTCCCTTTATAAAATTTTGGACGTAAATTTTGTAGTAAAAAAAAACCCAGCACAGGGGGGTCGCGGCACAGTGGTGACGTGACATAGTTGGATCAAGTATAATGATATCTGATAGTGATTAAAATCACTATCAAAAATAAACGCTTCGATGCAAATCTTTAGATAGTGTTTAATTTTAAAAAAATTGGTGTTTTATTCCAAAAGCTACTTGATCTGCTGGTTCCTTATTAATATCTCGATTAAGATAAAGTATGTCGAATGAAAAAGGGTTTATTAAAAAATATTATTTCTCATAAAAAAATT